GACTTTACTCTTTTCCTTGTAGTTTTCACCTCGCCCCTTTGGGCATGAGAACTAGGCAACCCCTGGTAACCGGGCCGGTCAGCCTTAAGTTGCAGGAGTTCCAATCCCAGGTCGCGTCGTCCGCCTTTGTGAGCCCCAGAGCCTGGCGGGCTGGCTGTCTGCGTCTACCTCCTCTTCGGTGAACACCTTCACACAATTAATTCACAAACGACGACTAACAAAATAAATGATGCCATTGAGGCGGCCGCTTGGTATCGATGTGACTATAAAATAAATCCAATGGTAGCTCAATATTCGGGAATGAGAAATAATTACATGATTATAACTAAATAGAAGGGGTTTTTAACACAGTATTTTAAAAAGTCCGGGGAGTCCACCCTCCTTCATAGAGTAAAATAATAAACAAAAGAATGGAACATTCTGATGGAGAACACTGGACTCCCGAGATTCCAGCAGTGAGGCGTGGGGCCTGTCGACCCGCTTCGGGGAACCCCCGATCACCCTCCAATACACTACACCCCCCCGCCCCGCCCCTCTCCCACGTGAACAAGGTCCGAGCAGAAGAGTAAGTCAGGTTACTCTCCGGCCAGTGTGGCTCAGTGGATTGGGCGTCTTCCGGGGCACCGAAAGATTGCCAGTTCGATTCCCAGTCAGAGCACATGCCTGGGTTGCCGGCTCGGTCCCTCTCATGGATGTTTCTAAATCTCTATCCCTCTTCCTTCCTCCCTGTAGAAAATCAATAAAATATATATTTTTAAAAGTGTTTTTTTTATTTTTTTTAATTGATTTTTTACAGAGAGGAAGGGAGAGAGATAGAGAGTTAGAAACATCGATGAGAGAGAAACATCGATCAGCTGCCTCCTGCACACTTCCCACTGGGGATGTGCCCGCAACCCAGGTACATGCCCTTGACCGGAATCGAACCTGGGACCTTTCAGTCCGCAGGCCGCCGCTCTACCCACTGAGCCAAACCGGTTTCGGCTTAAAAGTGTTTTAAAAAAGAAAAGTGGTCCCTGCAACGGCAGCATTGGCATTGCCTGGGACTGCTTAGAAAGGCAGCCACTGGGCCCCGATCCAGGCCTGCAGGAGCCGGACCTGCCATTTAAAAAAAAAAAATGTATTTTATTGATTTTTTTTACAGAGAGGAAGGGAGAGGGATAGAGAGTTAGAAACATCGATGAGAGAAACATCCATCAGCTGCCTCCTGCACACCTCCTCCTGGGGATGTGCCCGCAACCCAGGTACATGCCCTTGACCGGAATCGAACCTGGGACCTTTCAGTCCGCAGGCCGACGCTCTATCCACTGAGCCAAACCGGTTAGGACCGGACCTGCCATTTCACAAGACCCCTGAAGTCTGCGGTGCTTGTGACTCTTAGGAGAGGGCAGAGGTGGGAGGGAGGAGGAGCAAAGGGCACAGCTAGCCCAGGCCCCGGCATCCTAGCCCTGGCATCCTAGAAGCTTCTGCTGGGACCCGGCTACCAGGCCGGGAGAGACCGATTCCCTGTGGCCCATGGCCGGCCCGTGTCACAGCGCTGTGGTGGGGACAGCTCCGGGTCAGTGGCCAGCACCCAGAGGGAAGCACCCGAAACTGGAGCTCTGCGGGGCCGGGCGGGACACGGGGCCCCTGATGGGTGGGGACCATACACACGGGCTCTGTTTGTGCATACACAGCCCCAGGCGGGGAGGGAGTCCAGTTACAGAGCGGCCAGTCCTGGGCACCCTGAACCCCCCGGGGAGGGTGGGACCCTCACGGCTGCTGGGTCCCCCGGCCCCTCACCAGGTGTGGAGGCTGCTGACGAGGACTCCGGTCCCTTCAGCCACAGAGAGGCCCTCCTGGTGGGCAGGCGGGTGGCACTCAGCTGTCACGCTAGGGTGACCATCCGTCCCATTCGCCCAGGGCAGCCCTGTGTACACCTGCTGTCCCGGTGTAATTATTAATAATGCCCCCTCTTGCTCTGGTCTGGATGACACATTAAAGGGTCACCCTGGCGATAGTCCAAGTTTGATCCCCAGGACCAAAGGAAGGTGATTCTAAAGGGGACTGGTCCAGGAGTCGGGAGCTGGCACCTGGGGTTCTTAGGCAAGTCTTCTCTGGCTGCAGGTGCCTCGTCTCAATGCAAGAGGTTGGCCCGGCCGGCGTGGCTCAGTGATTGAGCATCAACCTATGAACCAGGAGGTCACGGTTCGATTCCCAGTCAGGACACATGCCCGAGTTGCAGCCTCGATCCCCAGTAGGGGGTGTGCAGGAGGCAGCCGATCAGTGATTCTCTCTCATCATTGATGTTTCTATCTCTCTCTTTCTCCCTTCCTCTCTGAAATCAATACAAATTTATTTTAAAAAATAAAACTTGTAAAAAAAAAAAAGAGGTTGAACAGATGGGCCCTTTCAGTGGGGAGTTAATAAAGGTGAGACATGGGTCCGTGGGGTGTCCATAGGTTGGGGAGGACATGGATCCTACCCTGGCGGCTTTGACTCCATGGCCTCTGGGGACCCCACCTTCTGCTGGTTCTTCTTCCAGGGCCTGGTCTCTGTGCCCACAGCTCACGGGGGCCCTTGGTTTGTATCCCCGCCTGCCACCCTGCCTTCTCCACCCCAGAGGGACCCTCCTTTAACCCGCACTTCCTCACTGGCTGATGTTGGAGACACATAACTTCATACCCTGCAACTGTGTCACCACTTGTCACCCTGGGACAGCCAATCTCGCAGGATTAGGGAAATGTCATACAATGCTTGGCTCCTAACAGGAACTCACTGAGGTATTATTTTGTCTTGTTCGTTTGCTTTTTTAAAATATATTTTTATTGACTTCAGAGCGGAAGAGAGAGAGAGAAACATCAATGATGAGAGAGAATCATCCATCAGCCGCCTCCTGCACGCCCCCTACTGGGGATCAAGCCCACAACCTGGGCATGTGCCCTGACTGGGAATCGAACCGTGACCTCCTGGTTCGGAGGTCGATGCTCAACCACTGAGCCACACCAGCCGGGCCCCACGGTATTACTAAGCCACCTGGTTCCCATCCTCATGTGAATGCATCCTGTGTCTGCTTCTCAAGGCGAACCACCTGCTAGCTGGGGTGGGAACTAAAGGAGGGGGTTTGTAAGCACCCGAAGGTCACGTAGGCCACGCTCAGTGACACTGTGCACCGGGAAGGCTCTGTGAACGCTCCCCACCTCAGCCCCACCTCATGGGCAACATGATCCATCTGTCATCTGACTAATGCGTGGGGCGAAGCAAAGTGGACACTGTAATCCCAGGGCTCAGTCGTCTTGACTCTCACGACAATGCCATGTTGTTAAACTTTCTTCCCTCACTTGTTCCTTTAGCCTTGCGTTTGGGGGATTTGGGGCCAGCAGAAAAGGCGCCCGCTCTGCAGGCTGACACTTGTCTAGCTGCCTGTCTCCCACTGGGCCCCAATTCCTCTTTTCTTTTCTTTGTTAAAATATATATTTTTATTGATTTCAGAGAGGAAGGGAAAGGGAGAGAGAGAGAAACATCAATGATGAGAAAGAATCATCCATTAGCCGCCTCCTGCACACCCCACACTGGGGATCAAGTCCACAACCTGGGCATGTGCCCTGACCAGGAATCGAACCGTGACCTCCTGGTTCAGAGGTCGATGCTCAACCACTGAGCCACACCGGCCAGGCCCCACGGTATTACTAACCCACCTGGTTCCCATCTTCATGTGAATGCATTTTGTCTCTACATCTCAAGGCGAACCACGTGCTGGCTGGGGTGGGAACTAAAGGAGGGCGTTTGCCCTGACTGGTTTGGCTCAGTGGATAGAGCGTCGGACTGCGGACTGAAGGGTCCCGGGTTTGATTCCGGTCAAGGGCATGTACCTTGGTTGCGGGCATATCCCCAGTAGGGGGTGTGCAGGAGGCACCTGGTCGATGTTTCTCTCTCATCGATGTTTCTAATTCTCTGTTGCTCTCCCTTCCTCT